GGTGGGAGGAGGGGATAGGTGGGAGGAAGAACAGGTTAGGGAGGCAGGGACGAGCTGGACTGGTTTTGGGATGCGGTGGGGGGAGAGGAGATTTTGAAGCTTGTGAAATCCACATTGATACCATTGGGCTGCAGCGTTCCCAAGCGGAATATGAGTTGCTGTTCCTGCAACCTTCGGGTGGCATCGTTGTGGCACTGCAGGAGGCCCAGGATGGACATGTCGTCTGAGGAATGGGAGGGAGAGTTGAAATGGTTCGCGACTGGGAGCTGCAGTTGTTTATTGCGAACCAAGCTTCAAAATCTCCCCTCCCCCTACCGCATCCCAAAACCAGTCCAGCTCATCCCCGCCTCCCTAACCTGTTCTTCCTCCCACCTATCCCCTCCTCCCACCTCAAGCCGCACCCCCATCTCCTACCTACTAACCTCATCCCGCCCCCTTGACCTGTCCGTCCTCCCTGGACTGACCTATCCCCTCCCTAACTCCCCACCTACACTCACCTTTACTGGCTCCATCCCCGCCTCTTCGACCTGTTTGTTTCCTCTCCACCTATCCTCTCCTCTATCCAACTTCTATCCGCCTCCCACTCTCTCCCTCTTTATTTCAGAACCCCCTTCCCCTCCCCCTTTTCTGATGAAGGGTCTAGGCCCGAAACGTCAGCCTTTCTACTCCTATGATGCTGCTTGGCCTGCTGTGTTCATCCAGCCCTGCACCTTGTTGTCTTGTATTGACTCTGGCTCTGGTTTTGCAGTTCTTACTATCTCCATGCTGACCAAAATGTACATCCACGTTAACCCTGTTTCCCTGCACTTGGCCCATATCCTTCTAAACCTTTCCTATCCACGTATTCGTCCAAATGCCTTTTAAATGTTGTTAATGTACCTGCCTCAACCACTTCTGCTGGCAGCTCATTCCATATGCGTACCACCTTCTCCATAAAAAAAAGTTGCCCCTCAGGCTCCCATGTATCCTTTCCTCTCTTATGTTAAACTGAGGCCCTCTAGTCCTTGATTCCCCAATTCTGGGAAAAAGACTGAATGCATTCACCCTAGTTCAGCTGATACCTATGTTTAAGTAGGGCTGAATCTTTTGATATTTTGGCTAAATGTTAATCTCATTGAGTTTCATGGAGGGTTTCATGTGATTATCCAAAGTCACTTCATTGATTACCTACCATGCCCTGATATACTGTTTTCCATCTGATGATAGATCAATTCGACTATCATAGAACAACTTGTCATTCACCAGCTACCCTGGAATAGACTGGCATCCATGGTACCCGCATTATCTTTAAAACACAATTGCACACCGGATGAGAATTGACATCCTGAAGCTGTCTTGCGTGGTTTCAGAATTTACCCCAGACATAGCAAACAGGAGAAAATTGATACTACTCTTTGTGGACAACTACTGGTTGAATGAGTAGTGTAAAGAAAGGGAAATCCTTTTCCTCCAGAACTGCTTATGGAGACCATCCAGAGGAATGCCCAATAGAGCTTAAGAAGGTCAACAAACTTTTCCACTCTGCCACGATAAATGCCACCACTTTCTCTTTGTTTCCTCACACCTATTCCAGCACTTCCCAATCTTCCACACGACAAACTTCACATGCCTTCTGCGCTGTGGACTCAGTCACACAAGACACCTCAACACCTATCCCTACCTGCACCACCCTAAAAACAGCTCTGCCACCCACTTTCATCTTACTCGATCCATCCCTTTATCCCATTCCAGGAGAAAACAGCCCAGAGTAAATCAGAAAGGGCCTGGCTGGATCGTGGATGTCAGTCGTTAGGCTCCTCAAACACCATGAGGAGAGTATCCTGGCCTTCACAGAAAACCAGGACCACTCCTGCAGGGATGCCAAGGCATCTATGTCCTACAAAGTGTATAAGTACCATTACTCATTCCAGTGCAACTCTTACATTAACCCCACTGTCAGTATCATTCACTGTATGCAACTTATAGCTCTCAACTGTGACACTGTCTCTCTTCAGGTACAAGCACAATGTCCACTATCTCAGTGGTCAGGTGGGTTACACCACAAAAAAAAAGTCCTCCAGCACGTCTGTGGAGGAGATGTCAGAGGCCTTAGAAGATGCTTTGACAAGTTTGCCTCCTGAACCCTCCACCAGCTCAGACACTCACACCTCCTTGAAAACTCTAGCTAGATTTGAATCTGGATATTAGGTTGATAAGCCATGACTCTGCTGCTGGCTGAGGAGGAAATGTCCAGGTAGCTGGCACTCAGAGTACTGCCGGGACCAGACTTCTGCTCAACTCCAAGCAGAAAAGGACTCTGGTGGTGTCAGCAATCAGGGACTTTGTGGATAAGATGGTGGCTGCCACAGAGAGCCATTTCCAGTAAACTAGCAGCTCAAGGTCACAAGGATTGCACATACCTGCATTCATTTGTCCTTGCCATTGGCCGTCAGCAACAATAGCAAGGGGACAGTTGGGTGAACCAACTTAACTTTGACACCAAGTGGTCTGTCCTCACAAGGAACAGGACAATGACAGAGGACACCCAGTCAGTGGTGGAAACATGCCCCTCAGAAGCCTCCTCTCAAGAGACTCCAGAGTTTGCAGAGCCTGCAACCCTCACGCCTTATTAAGCACCCAAGATGGTGACAGAACAGGGCTCCTGACCTTTGCTTTTCCTTTTTTTTTCTGTTTTCTTGCTTTTTTTCTTCTTTTTACTCACCTCTT